CGTTAAAAAGTGTTAAAAAGCCTTAATTATTGGGTTTTCTGAAATTATGGCAAAATCCTATAGTGACAGGGTAAAATGGGTCCCGGATTCGAATTCAGCGATCCCAAAAATATATAGAAACATAGTCCCCAAATGCCAACATTTTTTTTGTGTGGTTGCGAATATATTAAGTAACTAATAAATTTAATTTAAAACAATTAAAAATACAGACAAATAAAACTGCAATTAAACGTACCTATTTATGTGCATATATTTTATACGTATAAAAAAATAATGTAATAAAATTAAGTAGAATTCTAAGTTTTAAGTTAATTACATGTTATTATTACCACATAAAATTGGGTCAAATAATAGCATAAAATTGATAATTATTAAGGCCGTAATTAGACTTTTTAATTTCTCGAGGATTTACATAATTTTACAATTTAGTTCTGTCTGATTCGATCGTATCTAATCAGAGCGTACATAGTGAAAAAGAAACAATATTCCTAAATAAGGTCTCTAGTATTTTTAATAAAACTAGACCAAACAGTATAGTATACAGGGTGCTGTCTAGGAATCTCGACAGTCAATGTCGTGATGGTCTACATTTGTGTACAGAACAAATATGTCTGGGTTCGAATACCGGCGACGACAGGCTTTTTTAAAATTTGTTTTCATCTTTGGGATTCGGGGATGGTCCTGATAATTCGTAGGGGGTTTTTGAGATTTGATCCGAATTTTCAAATTATTTCAGCCACTTATTTTTCAGATATACTAATTTTTCGGATTTCGGTTCGCGATTCTTCGATATTAAATCACAATTTTCATACACAGGTTTAAGTGTCTTACAGTAATTTGAAAACTTAACTCACGCAGACGAAGATACGAGGATGGGATGAAAAGTTTCTGGCCTAACATAGAACGCAACACAATAGTGAATGAATACATTTGACCCAACGATGTTCAAGCGATTTAATACCGTCACTGTAGGCTGATTTATCCAACTCGTCAAAATAGGCGTTTATGGCTGCAATTACTTCTAAATCCGTGGAAAATTTTTTGCCAGCAAGAATTTTTTTTAGGTTTGGAAACAAATAAAAGTCTGACTGGGCTAGGTCTGGCGAATACGAAGGATGGTTTAACAGTTCAAAGACTAGCTGATGAATTTTAGCCATTACGAGAACGCACTTGTGGCAAGGTGTATTGTCCTGATGAAAGAATTTTCTTTTTTGCCAAACCAGGGCGTTTTTCGCTTATATTCTGCTTAAGCAGGTCCAGTAAGTCGCTGTAGTACTCGGACTTTATTGTTCTTCCCTTTTCAAAATAATATATTAGGAGTATCCCTTTAGCATCCCAAAAGACCGTTGCCATGACCTTTCCAGCAGACGGTACTGCCTTTGCCTTCTTTGGAACTGGTTCGTTCTTTGCCGTCCACTGTTTGGACTGTTGTTTAGTTTCAGGGGTATAATGATAAACCCATGTTTCATCAACCGTAATAAATCTACGCACAAAGTCCCCTGGATCACGTCTAAACAGTGCCAAATTTTCGTTTGAAATGGTTAGCCGCGTGAGCTTCTTATCTGACGTGAGCAAACGCGGCACCCATCGTGCCGATAGCTTTCTCATACCTAAAACTTCACACAAAATATAGTAAACCCACTCTTTTGATATGCCTACAGCCTCAGTTACCTCTTCCAATTTTAAATGCGTTCTTATAGAATTAGTTTTTGAACGGTTGCACCATTTCTTCAGATGTTCCGTTTTTGGCCTGCCAGAACGCGGAGCATCATCAGTACTAGTACGACCACGTTTAAAGTACGCTACCCAGGTTTTAACAGTGGTAAATGAAGGATCAGATTCCGCTAGTGTAGCATCTAGTTCAGCTTTTATTTCCGTCGGCGATAATCCTTGGATATGGAAATATTTTATCACCGCTCTTATCTCGTTTTTTTCCATCTTTTAAAAGTGGCGCACTTTATAAACTTTTAAAATACCCAAGACCCAAACTACTTGACGCACACACTTTAAACTTCGAGCGTATACTGACGACAAGCAAGGCTATACAGACACGTTGGAACAGAAAAGCAAATCGGGCCTACTGTAGGTTAGACCGGAAACTTTTCATCCCATCCTCGTATCTGTTATTTATGTTTGGAGAAGAAAATTGTTAAACTAAAAGTTGTTTGCGATATCGATCTCTATAATTTTGGTTTTTACATGATTTTTCTAAAATGGACCGTAATGGAAAAATTGGAGGAAAAGTACTAAATTTAAATTTTTCATATCTATAGAAAAATGTTTCGAATTGACGTCTGTGGAAAATGTATATATTTAGTTTATCCACCAAACATTTATAGAGGTTCAAAATAACCGGAAAAAGCCTGTAATAACTAGATAGGAAAGTCATGTGTTGGACACATTAGATATTTTATTTTATTCACTAGAGGGTCGCAGGAGAAAAAATTACTCTTTTCCCTAGTAATACAAATAGTTATAGGTATTTACCAATACAAATATGGATGATTAAATTTTATTGCGAACTATATGACGATCCCATTCATGCGGAGAGAAAATTTTCCCTCGGACGATATTTTTAACTCCGCTTTGCTAATAAACCGTCGCGTTATCGATCAAATCAAAGATGCCGAAGATTGTTTATCGATAAGAAGAAGATTGCTCGGCATAGTGGTAAGCAAAGAGTACATTTTCGTGACATAACGGATCTGGAGAAACTTTGTCAGGGTCGAGAAATACTTACCAACCGACATCAGAAAATTATGTAAATAGTAGAAGAGTTCGAAAGGTCAATGGATAGGTGCAGCGGCGCACGTCGTACTTGAACAGGGTGGTAAAAATGCGTCAGATAAATAATGTCCATGCCCATGCCCGATTTGAAATAAAACATAACGGCATATATGCAGTCCAATTCACGTCCTGTCAAAATATCCAAAGATTGATTGAAATAATTGAAAATTCTGTAAAAAATCTCAAAAATCCCCCTACGAATTATCAAAACCATCAGTGCTCGAATTATTCGTGGTTGACGGCCAGAGGCTAACGCATGGACGCTGAATGCACCATAGATAAATTAATATTAAAAGATAAACCGTTTAAATGCACGGCACTGGTAACAAGTGGTAGTTCCCCGCCATACTACTTGGAGCCACCGTCGCAAATAAGATGACAGCGATGTTGTCAGTTTCCATAAACTTTCATGAGATTAGAGTTAATTCAAACGCATAAGCTGCACCTTATTTTGTTTTTGTCGTGCTCGATACCATCCATACAATGGCCATACTATTGCTGAGATATTTTAAAGAGAGGTTTGGCAACTGTGTTGATAACCTCGTTAAAAATAAAGAACGGAATGGCGGAAGACGAAATAGTCGAAAAATGCACAAAAACCGTCATAAAATAAAAGTTATTATGATGTTGTGGATATAATTATCCTTCGATAGGTAAGTTATTATTAGGTTAAGAAGATTGATAAGTGCTGATTTGATGAAATTAGTAAGTATTAACAATATAATTTAATAAGGTGTTAGATTTGTTTAAGGAATTTGTTTATCATTGTTTTCTTATAGCCTTAACGAAGTATAATTTCATTTTGGATCGATTTTCAATTCTGTTTTAATATACCTATTTGTAACAAAACATGTCTGGCCCTGGTAAAATTAAGTAATCTTTTTCAGTCCCTTAATTTAAATAAGTATTATTCTAATATTCAGCAGGCTGGTTATTCAAATAAAACCTTTTTTCATTATCCTTCCGATATTAAAATTCGTGAAAACTGTTTTAAGAATTTACATTTATCTTTAGATAATAAAATTCGCTATCTTTTTGAAGATTTTTGGCCAGATTCTTTTAGTAAAATTGCTTCAAAACATAAACGACTAATTGCAAATTCTGTACCAATTTTATTAGCTAATAGTACATCCAGTTCAACTATACTCAATACTCAACCCAAACAGTCAGATTTTAGAAAATGTTGAGGCTGAAGCACATACACAGTAGCATAAGATAGATTTGCTAATCTGCAACGAAAAACAAGAAATGATTTGCAAACGTAAACTTAGTATTAGTGATAAACAATTTGAACAACCCTCTGTTAAAAATGAAAAGTAATTTTCAAACTCAAATTTGTTAGATCAACTAGAACAGATTAGTTAAAATATAATTCAAATCGACCATTGCACTATGAGAAATAAACTGAAAGTTTTTTCTATAAACTAATTTTAGACAAATTAAAAATATTTTTTTTTATAAGAAAGGGCAACATTTTGATAAGAAAAATTGTTTAATAAGATGTAAGTATGTACACTTTTTTGTTTTTATAGGAAACCCCTGACACCTGCATCAAAATTTGGTCCAGTTTTCCTAGAACGAGAGGAGAATACTATTAATTCCACTTACAGTTGTTATTTGTACATGTTCTGTATGTAATAAATGTTTTAATGTACCTTACTTTTATTAAATGATTAAACTATACGTATATACCTATTGTTTCAAATATTTTCATTTATATTTTTTGGAGTTTTATTACTTAAAAAACTAATATTTATGTTAAATACAGTATTTTAATGTAAATATTAGTTTTTTTTTAAAGTAATGAATGCCAAAAAATGTAAATAAATAATAAAGGACATTTGAATGAGCCGCGTTTAGGCTTGACATTCTTCTTTTTAATTTTCTTCTTTTATGTTGCTCTAACTGTTAAGTTAATCAGCCAAATGTGTAGCGTGCGACGGTGGCTCCAAGTAGTATGGCTGGGAACTACCACTTGTTACCAGTGCCGTGCATTTAAACGGTTTATCTTTTAATATTAATTTATCTATGGAATGCACCGTGCAGACGTTCGTCTCGCGGAATCCCTAGATTCGGCTCGAGAAATCCCCCATTTTTGTGTTTACTTATTATTTTCGACCGACTCTTTAGGTAAACTTAAACAGACGCACAAAATGCAGCGTACCGGTGCAAATGAAAAACGTAAACGTAATGTTTTAACCATTCAACAAAAAATGGAAATTTTATTACAATTTGAAAATAACATAAGTGTTGGTGTGTTGGCTAAAGCATATAACTTCGGAAAACAAACGGTTCGTGACATTGTAAAAAAGAAAGCCGAACTACATAGCTTTGTAGCTAAAGCTGACAGTGCAAAAGCTATTTCTGATAGGAAATCTCTAAAAGAGTCTACTTTACGAGACCTTGATGATGGATTAGGTGGTTCTTGCAGAAAAGATCGGAAGAGGTTCCACTATCAGGACCCATCAGTGATAAGCCAAAAGTTTCACGAACAGTTCAAAATCAAAGGAAACTTATCGGCATCTTCTGGTTGGCTATACACAATTAAAAATCGTCATGGAATACGAGCTATGGTAGAATTTTGCTATGATTTGACAAATCTTATAAAGTAGCACGACCTAAAACCTGAGAAAGTGTATAATGGAGCCGAAACTGGACTTTATTGGAAAGCAATGTCAAAAAGCACACTCAAAAACTAGTGCACCAGGTTAGCTTACATATTTTTACGTATGTATACAGTGTTTTTTAATGTATTTTTCTTAGGTTTCAAAGGAAGCAAATACCATTTAACAGTGTGATGCTGTGCTAATAAGAAAGAGTCAACAAAATGTGCTCAACTCTTATGGTGACGAGGGCATTAGGATTTATAATATTTTTGATTCAATTAATGGCGAGACGTTAGAAAATCTTTGGCTGCACATATTTTAACCCCAAAATTAAATGTACGAATGGCATACATTTCTCACAAAGTATGGAGCAATTCATAATTAATTTAAAGGAACAATTCCTAAATTGTGAACTGGGAGACTTGAGAGAATTTCTTATAAAAGATTTATTAATATGTGGCTTGGGATCTGAATTCTTAAGAGGAACTCTATAACAAAGAGATGTAAAAACGTTAGATGAGGCAGTAGTCATTTGCATAAGTACAGAAAATACAATAGAACACAATAAACACATTACTAATGACAAAGAGGAGCAATCCGGCAAACCTGAGGTTAAACCAATTATTTTATAAAAACAGATCGGAAATCAGAATTCTCATCCAAAATGTAGCCGAAGTTATTTTTATGGCAAATGTCAAGCATATGGTAAAAAGTGTAAAGTTTATGGCATATGAACCATTTTTCCAAATACTGTAGAAACAAACCTCGACATTCAACATCATCTTTCATATCAGTACAGGTAAACTCCTTAAACTTCTGCCCAAGGAAAGAATCTGGGAATTTTGTGAAGAACGAACCCAATATGGTTTTAGATCTCATTATTCTACACAGGACGCAATCAATCTCCTCTTATCACACTACTGCGGTCACTGAGGTCACTGGCATACTAGACTAGTCAAGAAGCTAATGAACATATGTCTCTCCTACAGTATCTCCAAACTCATTTACTCATATCTCACTAACAGAACAATTAACGTCAATCTAGGCTACGATCTGTCAGACCCATTCATCTCACTTGCTAGGGTACCACAGGGCTCCGCTCTGACCCCGTCCTCCTATATCTCATATACAATCACGACATTCCACCTCCAAACTATCCATCGTCAAAATGCCTTCTCTACGCCGACGATACTGCTCTGCTTTCTGTAGCCAAAAATTCTGACCAACTAAGTACTCGAACCCAAAATCTGTTTAACTAGTATTTTTCTGTTGTAGCAAATGAAAGGTCTCACTCAATCCACCAAAAAAAACACAATTTATCATCTTTAAACATCCGAACTAAAAATGAGTCACTCCTGGAAGCTAGACTCGCTGAACAGTCCGAAGTTGACTATTTGGCAGTGCGATTTTCTCGTACACTCAAATGGTCCTCTGATGTCCAATGCTCTCTCAAAAAGATACAAAAGCGAGCTAGTCACCTTGGGGCTGTGTGTGGATAATTTGGGCGATGCAATCCAAATACTTTAATGCACAATTAACAATTCTTTTATCCGCCCCGTTGCCGAGTACAGAGCAAACAAACGAACGAACGAACGAACGAACGAACGAACGAACGAACGAACGAATAAACGAATAAACGAATAAACGAATAAACGAATAAACGAATAAACGAATAACCGAACAAACAAACAAACAAACAAACAAACAAACAAACAAACAAACAAACAAACAAACAAACAAACAAACAAACAAACAAACAAACAAACAAACAAACAAACAAACAAACAAACAAACAAACAAACAAACAAACAAACAAACAAACAAACAAACAAACAAACAAACAAACAAACAAACAAACAAACAAACAAACAAACAAACAAACAAACAAACAAACAAACAAAACAAACAAACAAACAAACAAACAAACAAACAAACAAACAAACAACAAACAAACAAACAAACAAACAAACAAACAAACAAACAAACAAACAAACAAACAAACAAACAAACAAACAAACAAACAAACAAAACAAACAAACAAACAAACAAACAAACAAACAAAACAAACAAACCAACAAACAAAACAAACAAACAAACCAACAAACAAACCAACAAACAAACCAACAAACAAACCAACAAACAAACCAACAAACAAACCAACAAACAAACAAACAAACAAACAAACAAACAAACAAACAAACAAACAAACAAACAAACAAACAAACAAACAAACAAACAAACAAACAAACAAACAAACAAACAAACAAACAAACAAACAAACAAACAACAAACAAACAAACAAACAAACAAACAAACAAACAAACAAACAAACAAACAAACAAACAAACAAACAAACAAACAACAAACAAACAAACAAACAAACAAACAAACAAACAAACAAACAAACAAACAAACAAACAAACAAACAAACAAACAAACAAACAAACAAACAAACAAACAAACAAACAAACAAACAAACAAACAAACAAACAAACAAACAAACAAACAAACAAACAACAAACAAACAAACAAACAAACAAACAAACAAACAAACAAACAAACAAACAAACAAACAAACAACAAACAAACAAACAAACAAACAAACAAACAAACAAACAAACAAACAAACAAACAAACAAACAAACAAACAAACAAACAAACAAACAAACAAACAAACAAACAAACAAACAAACAAACAAACAAACAAACAAACAAACAAACAAACAAACAAACAAACAAACAAACAAACAAACAAACAAACAAACAAACAAACAAACAAACAAACAAACAAACAAACAAACAAACAAACAACAAACAAACAAACAAACAAACAAACAAACAAACAAACAAACAAACAAACAAACAAACAAACAAACAAACAAACAAACAAACAAACAAACAAACAAACAAACAAACAAACAAACAAACAAACAAACAAACAAACAAACAAACAACAAACAAACAAACAACAAACAAACAAACAAACAAACAAACAAACAAACAAACAAACAAACAAACAACAAACAAACAAACAAACAAACAAACAAACAAACAAACAAACAAACAAACACAAACAAACAAACAAACAAACAAACAAACAAACAAACAAACAAACAAACAAACAAACAACAAACAAACAAACAAACAAACAAACAAACAAACAAACAAACAAACAAACAAACAAACAAACAAACAAACAAACAAACAAACAAACAAACAAACAAACAAACAAACAAACAAACAAACAAACAAACAAACAAACAACAAACAAACAAACAAACAAACAAACAAACAAACAAACAAACAAACAAACAAACAAACAAACAAACAACAAACAAACAAACAAACAAACAAACAAACAAACAAACAAACAAACAACAAACAAACAAACAAACAAACAAACAAACAAACAAACAAACAACAAACAAACAAACAAACAAACAAACAAACAAACAAACAAACAAACAAACAAACAAACAAACAAACAAACAAACAAACAAACAAACAAACAAACAAACAAACAAACAAACAAACAAACAAACAAACAAACAAACAAACAAACAAACAAACAAACAAACAAACAAACAAACAAACAAACAAACAAACAAACAAACAAACAAACAAACAAACAAACAAACAAACAAACAAACAAACAAACATACAACAAACAAACAAAAAACAAACAAACAAACAAACAAACAAAAAACAAACAACAAACAAACAACAAACAAACAAACAAACAAACAAACAAACAAACAAACAAACAAACTAACAAACAAACAAACAAACAAACAAACAAACAAACAAACAAACAAACAAACAAACAAACAAACAAACAAACAAACAAACAAACAAACAAACAACAACAAACAAACAAACAAACAAACAAACAAACAAACAAACAAACAAACAAACAAACAAACAAACAAACAAACAAACAAACAAACAAACAAACAAACAAACAAACAAACAAACAAACAAACAAACAAACAAACAACAAACAAACAAACAAACAAACAAACAAACAAACAAACAAACAAACAAACAAACAAACAAACAAACAAACAAACAAACAAACAACAAACAAACAAACAAACAAACAAACAAACCAACAAACAAACCAACAAACAAACCAACAAACAAACCAACAAACAAACAAACAAACAAACAAACAAACAAACAAACAAACAAACAAACAAACAAACAAACAAACAAACAAACAAACAAACAAACAAACAAACAAACAAACAAACAAACAAACAAACAAACAAACAAACAAACAAACAAACAAACAAACAAACAAACAAACAAACAAACAAACAAACAAACAAACAAACAACAAACAAACAAACAAACAAACAAACAAACAAACAAACAAACAAACAAACAAACAAACAAACAAACAAACAAACAAACAAACAAACAACAAACAAACAAACAAACAAACAAACAAACAACAAACAAACAAACAAACAAACAAACAAACAAACAAACAAACAAACAAACAAACAAACAAACAAACAAACAAACAAACAAACAAACAAACAAACAAACAAACAAACAAACAAACAAACAAACAAACAAACAAACAAACAAACAAACAAACAAACAAACAAACAAACAAACAAACAAACAAACAAACAAACAAACAAACAAACAAACAAACAAACAAACAAACAAACAAACAAACCAACAAACAAACAACAAACAAACCAACAAACAAACCAACAAACAAACAACAACAAACAAACCAACAAACAAACCAACAAACAAACCAACAAACAAACCAACAAACAAACCAAACAAACAAACAAACAAACAAACAAACAAACAAACAAACAAACAAACAACAAACAAACAAACAAACAAACAAACAAACAAACAAACAAACAAACAAACAAACAAACAAACAAACAAACAAACAAACAAACAAACAAACAAACAAACAAACAAACAAACAAACAAACAAACAAACAAACAAACAAACAAACAAACAAACAAACAAA